TGACCTAGGGTGGATTTTACATTGGGTTTTAAATATTCGGAAGACGCAACATTAAAATTCGGTTTAATTCGGTTTTAAGGGGGGGATTGTATATATGTTCTGGTTTTAAATATGTTGTGCGCCGCCCTGAGTCCCTGTCGGGAGAAGGGCGGCATATAAATTAAATTAAATAAATAAATAAATAAATAAATAAATAAAATTATGTTTATTATTTTTTGCTTTTAACTTTTGTTACTATGACAAAATTCTCAAGGATCAATGAGAAATGGCCACCTCAAAATGTATAGCTGGAAGAAAGAATTGTATTAACCAAGCTGCACGGGCCTTTTGATTGTCATCTAGGTGCCTCTGTTCATGCTGCACAGTAATTTCTGGATTCCTTCAATCTAGCAGAAAATGAGTCTTGGTTTCATTATTTTAGTAATAGTTTGGCAAGAACAGGGTTATAATTTCTGTTCTCAGGCTGCTTAGAGTGCAGTGAGTGATGGCATCTAGCATTGAAGGGAGAATTCTGACTATATGTCTCCTGCCTATATTTGGCTCATTTCTGCTCCCTCTTGGGTCATATGTAACAAATTAAGGAGTATCAATTACATCCAATAGCCATCCTGGAAGTTGTCCCTCTTTGACTTTTTAAGGAAGCGGATGCTTTTTTATAACCAAAATTTCTGCACTCAAGTTGACTTTAGTACATATAGATGGTTCTTTTTCCTCTTCACTAATAAAAAGTTTTTTTTCTAATATTCTTAATTTTAAAAATAGTCCTGCCTTTCACCTTATTCATTCATTCAATTTATACCTTACCCTTTCTTAGGAGTTCAGAACAATGTGCCTAGCATCCCTCCTCCCATTTTCCTCACAATAATAACCATGTGTGATAGATTGGTCTAAAAGAGTGACTGGCCCAAAGCCATCCTATAAGTTTCAGGAGTTTGGTAGACTTGAATTTTGGTATCCCCATTCCTGGGGATACACCTTAACCACCATGCTACATTGGATGTCATTTATTTATGTCACTTACTAGAATCTGTTTCATCCTGGTATAAGGAAAGACTACTATATAACCAGGTATATGCTTTCCTTGCTCTCTAATCCAGGGGTCTCCAATCCCCATCCGCAGCATCCAGAAACTGGTCTGTGCAAACAAGCAAAGCCCCATCCACAGGATGCAGGCATTATGCAAAACTATGGCCCCTCCGGTCCGCAAAAAAACCTTTCCACAGAACCGGTCCCTGGTGCCCCAAAGGTTGGGGACCTCTGCTGTAATCCATAGGTGGGTGGGCAGCATGTACCTGGCCTGTTTTTGTGATTTTCAATGCTTCCCCAGAGCTGAAATACACCATCAATTTTTGGCAACTTTTGGCAACTTTTTTGAATAAAAGACATAGAAGTGTTATGCCTCTAACAGGTTGTATATTAATTTTGAATAACTGCTTTAAAAAAACCAAATATTTTCCCATTCTCCCTCCAGTAGCATTACCACTGAAAATACCATAAAGAGCCCATTTCTTGTTCCTTTTCTAATTTTCTCCATAACAATTGCTGTGACAGCATAATGGCAGTTTCCTTTGATGCATTTTACTTAATAATCTACCTGAATAAGTGAGATTCAATACATGTATCCTGATTCCCATGGAAAATATATGTAATCTCTGTATTAGTGCCTTGAGTATATAT